CGTCCGCAGGACACCCGAAGAACAACTGGTGGAGGAGATACCATTCCCGACGATGTTTCATTTAATGTGTAGGATGTTATGAAAAGCCCCATGGCTGTTACAAATCACCCCATGCTGGGGCGATTCGTAACAGCATGCAAGGGTTTGGAAAACGTCTTAGATTTCAAAGATTACGGACTTCAGATTGATCCAATGGAGCTGCACAGTCTAGATGAAGGGCCAGACTGCTCAACTGGCACAAGTTTGACACCGATATGCAGAATGTTCTTAATTTTGTATAGGGAATTCCGAAATCTGTTACAAATCGCCCCATACTCCCTTACTCCTAGTTTTTAACAGTGAGTCATCGTCTTTGACGTCAAACACAACCGAATAGGAATCGTGTCGCGCTAGAAGTGAGGGCCTTAAAAGGGCAAGTCAGAACAACAGTCACAAAGGCAGCGCAGCGGTTTCTCTGTAAACCATTCCGCAACGGCACCGCCATGTAGACAGGGAAGCATTTCAGATATCTGCAATGCGAACGGCGGTTTGTGCTACAAATTGGTAACCGGCCGTTTTAGACTAATTCGACCCCGCTGAACACGAATTGCCCGGTTACCAAGCTCGATTTTTTCATTTAAGCCCTTAAATCCAAGATGGCGGCCAAAATGGCGCCCAAAATGCCCGAATCGCAGTTCTAACGCGCTGTGAAGCCCACACTCACGAGTTGTTGGTTGGTTTTCAGTTAGATTACCATTCAAGTAACGTGATGGGAGATTTTAGAGCCATGGGCATGAGTGTTGGGGGCCCAAATGCGAAGATGGCGTCCGAAAACTTCAAAAATCGCTTAAAACGTCACATTTTGACCGTTTTTGCGATAATTTGCTGATTCTGTGATTGTTTTGGGTCTTCCTTCGACTAGATAAACCAGATTTGAAGTTTGCATGACGTGTTGTCACATATGCTAGGGGCCAACAGGCCAAGATGGCGTCCGACAACGTCAAAAATCGCTTAAAACATCTTATTTTGACCAATTTTGCGGTAATTTGCTGATTCTGTGAGTGTCTAAGGTCTTCCTTGGACTAGATAAACCAGATTGTAAGTTTGCATGACCTGTTGTCACATAAGCTAGGGGCCTAGAGGCCAAGATGGCGTCCGGAAACCTCCAAAATCGCTCCAAAGTACACTTTTCCTATTTTTGGCTATTCAGCACGTTCTGTATCTCCCGTATCTCCTCGATCCTAAAGCCTGAATGGATCAGGGTGGCATAAGGCGTATATGGAATGTCAAAACCAAATCAAATCGTAAAAACAAATCAATGTTCTATTTTCTAATGTTTTAGAAAAATAAGGTTTCAAATGAGTAGTTTGTTAAGTGTTCTAACAGCAACACTGGAGTTATAGTTTCATTACCTGAAATCGACAGTGACCCAAACGGCGACGTGTGATGATCCTCTTTTAAATTTCTTACTCCACTCTTAATGTCTTACGATGAAATTTTACCTATGTTATTTGTATGTTGCAGTTAACGAAGCGATATTCCTTCGTAATACGAATCTTCTTAGCTTTTTCGTTGTAAGATACGAAGAAAAACTTTCGTAATATGAAGAAAAACCACCATCGTATTATGGGAAATTTCTTCGTAAGACATTTAGAGTGATCCTTAATATTTTCTCTATTGATACTTCTGGATTTTATCTCCGTATCTCGAATGTTAAATTTTTTGTGACTTTCACTTCATTGGCTGAGCGATAGCGAAGCCTGTTACTCCAGTGGGGTTGAAAAGTTTTGTCTGTCTGTCGGTCTGTCTGTCCGCACTACTCCTCCTGAACGGCTCGGCCGATCTCGGTGAGATTTTGCACACTTCTTAGGTATGTCCTTGGCTCGGCACACGCGAAATTTCACCATCCTAGTATTTTCTCTATTGATACTTCTGGATTTTATCTCCGTATCTCCAATGTTAAATTTTTTGTGACTTTCACTTCATTGGCTGAGCGATAGCGAAGCCTGTTACTCCAGTGGGGTTGAAAAGTTTTGTCTGTCTGTCGGTCTGTCTGTCGGTCTGTCTGTCCGCACTACTCCTCCTGAACGGCTCGGCCGATCTCGGTGAGATTTTGCACACTTCTTAGGTATGTCCTTGGCTCGGCACACGCGAAATTTCACCATCCTAGCTCAACTGGTTCAGTTTTTATAGCCGAAAAACACCTAAAAAATGGCGAAAAATCGAGTTTTCTGCAGGCTGGTCACCTCTGTCTTGAAGGAGGGGGGGTCTGGGGGGGCGGAGCCCCGCAGCCTCGACAAGTAAAACAGTTACAAGGGTCAAGATCGTGTTATCTGTAGATGAAGCAACTCTATCTAGAATGAAGGGGGGTCTGGAGCCCCCAGCATGCACCAAGTTAGGAGTAACCGATGATGGACAAGCCATTGCCTGCCGAAGACAGGCTAGCGCCGCAGGCCAAGGTAGGTACGCCAGGCGCGGATTGGAGGAACAGGCAGCGAGACATCGCGAAGCCTGTTACGACAAGACGCGGTCTGGCGTAAACCTACCTTGTCGGACATTAGAAGCGTGTCGAGCTTTAACAGGCTTACCAAATAAGTCTTCATTGGCTGAGCGATAGCGAAGCCTGTTACTCCAGTGGGGTTGAAAAATTTTTCCTGTCTGTCTGTCTGTGTGTGTGTGTGTGTGTCCGCACTACTCCTCCTGAACGGCTCGGCCGATCTCGGTGAGATTTGGCACACTTTTTGGGTATGTCCTTGGCTCGGCACACGCGAAATTTCACCATCCTGGCCCAACTGGTTCGGTTTTTATAGCCAAAAAACACTGAAAAAACGGCGAAAAATCGAGTTTTGTGTACGCAGATTGCTTCTGTCTTGAAGAAAGGGGGTCTGGGGGGCGGAGCCCCCCAGCCCGGACAAGTGAAAAAGTTACAAGGGTCAAGATCGAGTTATCTGCAGATGAAGCAACTCTACCTAGAATGGAGGGGGGTCTGGGGGGCATAGAGCCCCCCAGCACGCAACAAGTTAGGAAAATCGACGATGGAGAAGCCATTGCCTGCCGAAGGCAGGCTAGCGTCGCAGGCCAAGGTAGGTACGCCAGGCGCGGATTGGAGAAACAGGCAGCGAGACAACGCGAAGCCTGTTACGACAAGACGCGGTCTGGCGTAAACCTACCTTGTATACTTACTAACGAAGATTAACATGTTCAGCATTCAACGTTTGTAATCACTGTGTTACAAAGATTTTACCGCTGACGACAGTAGGAAAGGTGCCCGGCCACCTTTACTACTAACGACACTTTATAAAAGAAACCGAAATTTTAGGTATCCTTTGTCAAGGATTATTTTGTATTCCTAATCCATACCCTATCTAGTGACGACGTTTATCTGCCACTATCAGTAAAATAAATCGTCACCGGGTGATTCTGTGCGTAGGAGGTCATTTTGGCTGTAGCTAAAAATAAAAATAAGTTCACCTTTTTGAGACAGATTTGGTCTGGACAGTACTCCTCTGAGCGTGGCAACGCTAGTTGACTTTCATTTTCACACCCTATGAAATGCGGCGGAGCTTTCAGAAATCATGACGGAATTTACATATGACGGAACTTACAAAGCGAAGTGTTTAATCAGCTGACCCGCTGCGATACAAGATAGGCAAAAACTGTTGACGGTGTCTTTTCGAGCATCCGAAACATCGCTTTTTAGCGAAGGTTGTGGCAACTTTGTCTCTCGGAAGGAGGGAGCTATGGTCCGAAACGGAATTTACATCTATTTGTACACCCTACCCGTTAAACATTTCTGACGGGCTGGAAGCGTTGTTTGGCCGCCCCAGGTCCCACGGGCACGGGCTTCCGGTTGTGTTTCCTATGTTCTGTCGATTCCAAGCGGTCGGGGGGTTCTTAAACGAAAAGGAATCCCAGTGGAACGTCAGTTGTGAAATCAGCTTAGGTGACGTGGTGACACGCTTGATATTTTCCGAAAGGATGTTTCGAGTTCAACAAATGATGACACAAAGGTCACCTTCCGTAGTTTTGTGAAGAATAATAGTAACTACAGTATGGCAAAGTTGTTTAATAGGTGTTCCTGACCATGATGGGACTTACAAAACGACACTTTAGCAGGATACAAAAACTAGAAAAACAAAAGTTAGATCGATGTTGTCACTTGTCCACACGAGGACATGGTCCTCGTTCACTAAAACAGAATTGAATTGCCCAAGCTACCCATTCAACCTCAATTCAGACGCAAGGCCCGAATGACCTGAAATGACCGCCTATGCACGGAATCACACCACCTACATAATTCCTCCAGATTCACGGAAAATGAGGCACTAAATCCGCAGAAAGCGCAAGTTTTGACTCTTTCGGACGCCATCTTTGACTGTGGACCCTCAGTTCACGTGACAGAAGGTCATGCAAACTTACAATCTGGTTTATCTAGTCGAAGGAAGACCTTAGAAAATCACAGAATCAGCAAATTATCGCAAAAATGGTCAAAATGTGATGTTTCGAGCGATTTTTGACGTTTTCGGACGCCATCTTGGCCTGTTGGCCCCTAGCTTAGGTGACAACAGGTCATGCAAACTTAAAATCTGGTTTATCTAGTCGAAGGAAGACCTGAAACGGCCACAGAATCAGCAAATTATCGCAAAAACGGTCAAAATGTGACGTTATAAGCGATTTTTGACGTTTTCTGACGCCATCTTTGCATTTTGACCCCTAACACTCATGCCCATGGCTCTAAATTCACCCATCGCGTTACTTGAATGATAATCTAACTGAAAACCAACCAACAACTCGTGAGTGTGGGCTTCACAGCGCGTTAGAACTGCGATTCGGGCATTTTGGGCGCCATTTTGGCCGCCATCTTGGATTTGAGGGCTAAAATGAAAAAATCGAGCTTGGTAACCGGGCAATTCGTGTTCAGCGGGGTCGAATTAGTCTAGAACCGCCGGTTACCAATTTGTAGCGCGAAACGCCGCTCGCTTCGATTTAGAGAGCCTTTTTCAGAAATGCTTCCCTGTCTAATGAGGACGTGCCTCTTTCTGGTGGCCTTGCTGACGCTCTTCTCTTGGGCGGTGAGTACACTCTGAATACGATGGCATTGTTTCAATGTTACCACGGCTTCAGCGCACGCACAAGACGAAGGGTTCTGCTACGGATCTTTCTTGGATTTTCATTGAAGATTTAAGGAAAAACCTTCGATTGCAATCGGTAAAGACCGTTTAAAAAAGATTCTCTCTCCCACTGTTAAACATTCCGTACTTTTGTAAGGGAAGGTGGGGTACAATGGGACACCGGGTACATTGGGACACCTTCAATATTTCCAACTTCCAGTTATGTCAGGTTCTCCGAAAAATTGACCATGATAGAGCGTTATTTGGTTTACTGTTTTCACAACTAGGGGACAGAACTGGGCGCTTTCTGAATGAGAAACGTGGGTTGGAAGTTCGATTCCACGAAAAACGATGAAAAAGTAGCACGATTTTTGAATTTTGTTTTCTTTTTAGCGTCTGAAATGCACGTCGGATGATTGTACCGAGGTTAGCAATGTCTTCCCTGGTGCAATGGGCGTCAAAAAGGGTCAACGCGCGCAGCTTGGTCTTGAGGTCAAGGGCCACAGACCGAGTTGACGTTTTAAAATGGCTCAGTTCACATTGGGACAGGGTGAGGCTACTGGGCCATGTGGATACCAAAAATACATGAATCGTAATTGTCTTGTCTCGTCCAAACAAATAAAAGATATCTTATGCATGTGGTCTCTAAAGTCATTACTTCAGGGTTTTCTCGAGTAGGGAGGGCGAAAAAACACGAAAAATAGTACTATTCCATTGAAAGCAGCGTATCTTCCGAACGCTTGGATTCAGAGATCCGAGTCTGCGCTCATTGTATTCAGCATAACTTTTTCTACAACTTGGCGGTCCGAAAAAATATGCACGACTTAGATCCACATTTTTTTCATTGCTGTCCCAATGTGCCCCGGATCTGTCCCAATGTGCCCCGGTACTGTCCACATTGGGACAAGTGCAGACTCTACGAAAAATATCTCTCCTGCCTAAAAACGTATCGAAATAAGTTTGAATGCTTCAGGATATGATAGGCTAGATGTCAATGCACAATTTAGGCCTGCCCCGACCATTATAGCTCGAAAGCCCTCTGACGTAGAGCGCCAAGAAAAAATCCGTCCCATTGAGCCCCACCTTCCCTTACGGAAAATATTCAGAAGAATATAGTACCGTGAAAGCGGGTAATGTGGACCACCCCTAAAACACTATATGATCGGTGATGCCGCCTACCGTTGGCATCAAAAACTGTTTCGGCCACTGGCATCCGAACTAATAAGTACCTTGGCTCGAACCGAACAATTAGAAGAATTCCAGGGGTGGTCCACATTACCCGCATTTACGGTACGGAAGTAAAGAAAAGAGTACGGAACGTCCAGACTAGTGCCATATAAAGTAATGTAATCGGGTACCGAAAAGAAACACAAATTCAGTATAGTTGGACAGGTACAGACAGTCCACGCAATTTATTGACCAGACATGTTCTGTACTTCTCTGTACTTTTTTCTCTCAGTGGGCTCCCTCTCTCCAGTGCACCCATTTTCAGTAAAAACTTTGCAACGATAACGGAAGGCACGTCTTGAACCCTTTCAGATGGCGGGGCCCTGCCTCTCAAGGCAGAGGGTCATGACTCCACAGGGGTCGTACCACTCCTCCGGTTCTGGCGTCAGCTCACCAGCTTGCTCAAGCTCCGGGTCATCGAAGGGATCACCCAAGTCGTCGTTCAGCGCCAAGAGTCGTGGCTAAAGCTTCCGTGTGACTCGGCACTTCATACCATGTCCTCAATAAACAAAATCTTCTAGGTGAAATACTTACTTTCTTTGTCTCCACCGTTGCCCGTCTTTCTGAAAAAAAATTAATCGAAATACTTTTGCAACCGGCACCCACTTGGCGAAAACTGTTCCTTTTTTCCTCCGAACTCCCCGTTCATCGCCTACACTCTACATATGGGGTGCCCAGAAACTGGGCGCCTTTGTCGCCCGCCCCACTTTTTAGGGTGTCAAATGTCGGCCAGTTTCTGGGTACCTTTGACGCCCAGTCTTGGGGTGCGGACTAATCAAATAGGGGCATTCCATCCCAAATCGGCCACTTTTGTAGGTCACCATTTCGGATCATGATGAAAATTTTTTGGTAGGTAGACCTTATCAAAAAAACATTCTGTGCAAAATCTCAGCCAGATCGGTCCAGTAGTTCCTGAGGAAAGCGCCCTCAAAGTTTTAGTCAAAACTTCATTTAGGTGGTTTGAGCAAATTCGCACTTTTTCACGTTTTGGCCGATAACTCCGTCACTATTCAAGCTACGATGATTCCCAGCACGGTTTCTGATAGGGAATACTGTGAGGATTCAGAAAATGTACTTGGATTTGAGATGCGCCTAGGTAAAGGTGGTGAAAAGTGTGAAAAATCGGAGAAAATTTGTTTTTTTGGACCAATTTTCAGTGAGTTTTCCGGCCTATGCCCATATCGTGAAAATCCAAACCGAATAGCGGAAATAGTAGTCCATACCATGCCCAAACACGCTACGATCTCGGAATTGTTGGGTGTGGGTCTAGTTTCGGAGCTGCAGCGACTTGAAAATTCATAAAAATAGGTCAAATTCTGTTTTTGGCCAAAGTGCACGCGGGCAGTTTTTTATTGAACAGGCTCCACACGGCATGGGTAGCATTGTTCAGATACCCCTTTTTGGCCTTGGTTGAAGATTTAAGGTTCCCCATTTGAACAATGCAATCGATATTGTTCGAACAAGTGTCCTGGATCCACGAAAAACGAAAGCTGGGAACGCCTGCAACCCAAATGGCTCGCCCGTGCGCCGACCGGTCTTGCCTACTTCACAGGCGCTCGGGCCCCTTCGGTCGGCCAGCTATGGCAGTCTCTCTCTCTCTCTCTCTCTCTCTCTCTCTCTCTCTCTCTCTCTCTCTCTCTCTCTCCCCCTGCCCCCCTCTTTACCCGCGGCCATCCCGTCCAGGTAAGGCCGGCCATCGACGGTGTTCGAGGCCTAGCCTGGCCGCGGCGGGCTCTCTTAGCACTCGGGTGCGCGTCGATGACAGCCGCGATGTTACAGAGATGTTACAGGCGGGGGGAAAAGGGGTAGGGGGTCACAGGCTGGGGCATGGGGAGGGTAAGAGATTTGAAGCGGCGCAGGCAGTTCGTAGTGGTCGTTGAGGTACATTAAGTACTATAATTCAACTATGCCAAGGCCATTTTCAGATTTTTTATTTCTTTCGGAGATTTTTACGTTTTATTTCTGCAATAAGACGAATTCTCTGGAGTTCTGCTGTAGAAATGCTGTAGGAGTTGTTTGCCCTTACCAAAAATGGAAGTGAGATTTTAGTGAGTCCGGTCGCACTCTTATCAACCTTCTTTCGCACTGGTTCGGCAGTGCGAAGTTGATAGGAAAAGGTTTCATTTTTCGCATCGATTTCCGCCCTCCACCTGGTGCGACTTTGGTGCGAACTAAGTGCGACCGCCGTCAAAAAAGGTCGCCGAGACGAGCCTCGAACCGAGTTTTTTTGATCACTGCCATTGCCCTTTATCCATTACACCACGGCATCGCTCTGCGAGACAGTGGAGCGGGAAGCCGTGTCTCTCTCCGGCCAGCGAGCCGGTGACTCACGCTGCCGCTGCGCTGACACACAACGGCAAGGGATGCAGCTATCAAGTGGCTTTAACTTGCCGCTTTCTATCATTGCCTTGACATTTCGACTCTTGCTGCCTTGACTAGAGGGCTCATGTTTATTTTATTTTAAGTTCACTTGTTTATTATGTAACAAGGTTATTGGCTCCGAAATTCAGACTACAAACGTTAGATCGGTTAGTTTTAGCGTGAATATAATACTTTCATCAAAGAAGAAATTTGAGGCAGTCATTCCAAAGTTTCAACTGTTTCGCAAATCTTAAGGGCGTAGGAGCGGGTGACTACTCTGAGAATGGTAGCATCCGAGAGCGTTTTCGGGTGCATCCGCAGTTGTCTGAGGCCGGGGTCCCGATGCCCCGTAGACCTGGTTCGCAGACAATGCACCCTCGGCCGGCTGTTTATGGCCGGCCTGCCGGAGTGCGGGTGAATGACACCCCGACACGGGGCTCGGCCTGGGCCGCACGGAGCAGATCGCCAGCTTTTCGTGAGCTCGGGGCCGCGTATTTCCAAACCCTCCTGGCTCCAGAACAGTATGAGAATTTCAGCATGCCGCGCACTGCTGGCTATTCCTCCGAGTCAAACTGAAGATGTTTTAACTTTGTGAACCTCCGTGCGTATCAAATACACTATTTGGTTCCCCAAATTTACACACTGTGTCCCAAAATATCATAAAATGTCATGTCAGGTGAAAAAAAATGCGAAATATCATTTTCCAAAATAATTGCGGCATCATGATTGTATTCCCTTTAGTATCTGAAAAATTGAAGTTTACTTAACAAACTCGCGCTGCTCGCTGGGGGCTCCGCCCCCAGACCCCCGCATGTGTGGGGCGCGTGCCGAAGTATTTTCAGTACGTCCAAGGTGACCAAAGGCAAATTTTCCAAGGAAGTAAATGTACTGCTTCTTTGAAAGGTCTATTTAACAACTTTTGACCATATAATTAAGCTATACTTTTACTGCCCAAATAGATAGCTTGTATTGCTTTGGCTACTGTGGCAGTCAATGGGTGCATACAAGGTCCGGAAAATATTTAAGACTACTTTGACAAGGATAGAGGTGAATGGAAGTCTCTACGACCACCCCTTGACCCTAAACATTTCTATGAGTGAGTGAGTGAGTGCGTCAGTGAGTCAGTCAGTCGGATTGGGGCTATATAGGCTCTTGATGATTGATGATTATTTACCCCATTGCCGGTGGCGGGGACCCGACTGCGGCACAGTTTCGGAAATTCTCGACCAGACCTACCGATGGGGCGAATAAAAATTTTTAGTCAGTCGGTCCCCTTTTTAGAAGATTGAGTAGGTTTGCTCGGAAACGGTGAGGAATTTTCAACTGTTGGGATTTTATCCCATTTTCCCATAAAATTTGGAATCGAATGGATAGAACCTTAAGTCTCTACGACTATTCCTTGACCCCAAAAAAAGTGAGTGAGGGACTCAGTCGGATTTAGGGGCTATGTAGGTTCTTGATTGATGATTTTGAGGACGTTGCCGGTGACGGGGACCCGATTGCGGCATAGTTTCAGAAATGTCTCGACTTGACCTATCGATAGGGCGAATAAAAATTTTCAGTCGGTCGGTCCCCTTTTTTGAAGATTGAGTGGATTTTGTTGAATTTAGGCCTAATTAATCGTTTTGAGGGTGTTGCCGGTGACGGGGACCCGATTGCGGCACAGTTTCGGAAATGTCTCGACCAGACCTACCGATTAGGCGAATAAAAATTTTCAGTCGGTCGGTCCCCTTTTTTGAAGATTGAGTGGATTTCGTTGAATTTGGGCCTATTTAATCGTTTTGAGGGTGTTGCCGGTGACGGGGACCCGATTGCGACACAGTTTCGGAAATGTCTCGACCAGACCTACCGATAGGGCGAATAAAAATTTTCAGTCGGTCGGTCCCCTTTTTTGAAGATTGAGTGGATTTTGTTGAATTTAGGCCTATTTTTATATTTTTTTAATATCGTTTTTTGGGATGTTGCCGGTGACGGGGACCCGATTGCGGCACAGTTTCGGAAATGTCTCGACCAGACCTACCGATGGGGCGAATAAAAATTTTTAGTCGGTCGGTCCCCTTTTTCGATGATTGAGTGGGTTTGCTCGGAAACTGTGAGGAATTTAGTCCGCTTTTTTGAAGATTAAGTAGGTTTGCTCGGAAACGGTTAGGAATTTTCAACTTTTGGGATTTTTCCCAATTTTCCCATAAAATTTGGAATCGAATGGAAAAAACCGCATGTCTCTACGACCACTCCTTGACCCCAAACATTTCTATGAGTGAGTGAGTGAGTGAGTCAGTCAGTCAGTGAGTCAGTCGGATTGGGGCTATATAGGTTCTTGATTCAGTCGTTGGCCCTAAGTCTCCTTGCAAAAGAACCAAAAGTTGTCCAGACCTGAATATTTTTTTACAAGTTCTTTATTAATTTCCCTATTTGTCACTGAAAGCTCCTGTCTAATTTGATAAAAACAATTCATCCTTCACAAGTAGGTGAACAAAATTAATTTGCTTCCGTCAAAAGGAGTTGGGCTGCTCTATTGCTCCAGCAATAGACATGGTGCTCATTATGCCACAATGTAATGTAAAACAAGGTAGGTTTACGCCAGACCGCGTCTTGTCGTAACAGGCTTCGCGATGTCTCGCGGCCTGTTCCTCCAATCCGCGCCTGGCGTACCTACCTTGGCCTGCGGCGCTAGCCTGCCTTCGGCAGGCATTGGCTTGTCCATCGTCGGTTTCTTCTTACGTGTTGCATGCTGTGGGGCTCCGCCCCCCAGACCCCCCTTAATTCTAGAAAGAGTTGCTTAATCTACAGATAACACGATCTTGACCGTTGTAACTTTTTAACTTGTCTAGGCTGGGGGGCTCCGCCCCCCAGACCCCCTTTCTTCAAGACAGAGGTGATCTACCTGCAAAAAAAACTCGATTTTTCGCCGTTTTTTAGGTGTTTTTCGGCTATAAAAACTGAACCGGTTGAGCTAGGACAGTGAAATTTCGCGTGTGCCGAGCCAAGAACATACCTAATAAGCCTGCAAAATCTCAGCCAGATCGGCCGAGCCGTTCAGGAGGAGTAGTGTACACACACACACACACACACGGACACACACTGTCAGAAAATTCCGAAAAAAAATGGAAAAATCATGGAGTTTTTCCGAAACTTTTGCATGGAGCTCTCCATAAATGCAAATTCCGGGCTTTTCCCGAAAATTTTCGGAATTTTGAACATAAATGCATGCTTCACTATCACGAAATCACGAAAAAAGGTTTGCAACCAGTTAAAAAATGAGGGAAAGGTAAACCCCTACTTGTTTACCTCAGTTTTCATAATATTAAGGGTAAGCTACAGGATATAAGTCAAATGATCTCGAAAAAGATTGTCCCTTCTTTGACCATTTCAGACTAAAGAACGCTTCAGCGAAGCCCTCTTTAACCATTCTGAGAAAAGACATGCATTTTACCTCCCATCAGGACCCAAGTAATGCTCCGAAGAACATCTGTTTAAGCCCTGGGAAAATCTCTCTGAAAAAAAATGGAAAATGAATGGAGTCTCCATGTACGTGATTATAGGGTTTTTCTCCACAAAATTTCGGAGCTAATTTCTAACAGTGCACAGACAGACAGACAAAACTTTTCAACCGCACTGGAGTAACGGGCTTCGCTATCGCTCAGCCAATAACCTGTTATGGTATTTTGGGACACACTGTGTAAATTTGGGGTAGCAAATAGTGTGTTTGGTATGCAGGTATTTGGTAAGAACTTGTAAAAAAAATATTTGGGTCTCGACAACTTTTGGTTCTTTGCAAGGAGACTTAGGGCCAACGACTTAATTTGTTACATAAACTTCAATTAATCAGAAACTACACTCTCAGACTCAGAGCCATATTGACTTTTTGTTCATAGCAGCAGCAACATTTCCTAAGTAGCATATGAATTTTTTTACGCAACAATAATACTTAGAAATTTGTTCATATGCCACGAATAAAAGGTCTATGCTATATGTACAATTCCCTAGACGGGGTATCCCCAACTGTCCACCAATCCAACTTCCCCCCAAGACAAACTATCCACCAATAAATCTGTCCCCCATTTAAAACGGATTATTTGACAATTTATTTAATTTTTGGTTGCTCCATTTGAAGCTAAATAATAAGGATGAAAAATGCAAAATAAATGAGCTGAGCTCACTACTTCCCGTGTAAGTTGCCCTAAATAATTTTTAAAAATTATCAAACAATTATAAATAATTTCTAAAAATTATTTTAAAAACGTGGGGCATAAATATGCTGCCGTGATGTCACTGTGGACGCTATGAAAAACTTCGAAGGCTTAAAACCAGGTGACAGGCTGCCTCTAAGCTAGAGAGCCATCTAGGCTCTGTGCTCTTGGCCGAAAGGTTCCGTCACTATGAAAAAGTGCGCAACCAGTCCCAGGCAGACCGCGTAGTCACGGTTGCGGTGAGCTTGGCGTACTCCAGGTTGTGAGGCCCTTGAGTCGTTCAAGCACGCCGAATAGGCCGCGCCGCAGGTAGCGTACGGTTGAGGCGTGCTTGGCGTCCTCCAGGTTGTGGGCCTTTGAGTGGCACTAGCACGCCGCCTAAGCCGCGCCGCAGCCAGCGTGAACGGTGGTGGCGGCGCGCCTGGAGGACACGCTGGCTGCGGCGCGGCCTAGGCGGCGTGCTTGCGTGACTCAAAGGCCCACAACCTGGAGGACGCCAAGCACGCCTCAACGACACGTGGCCTACACTCTACAAAAAATGTCCTGTCAACGCCGTTGATTTATTACCAATGTTTGCTGTTATGCAATTCACGGCGTTTGCTGTGAACTAGATCACAGCGTTCACTGTGATCTCGGTTACAGTGTTCACTGTGATCTGGCCACAGTAAACGCCGTGAATTGGAGCCTGATTTGCAGCACTTCGGTTCTCAGCGGCGTCAAACTCACAGTGTTTGCTGTAAACCAGATCACAGTGAACACCGCGAGCAAGATCACAGTGAATCGCGTGACCAGATCACAGTAAACGCTGTGAATTGACCTACAGTGGAAACTGGTAATAAATTAACGGCATTGACAGGACATTTTTGGTAGAGTGTACGCGGCGTCGTGCGCGACTGAAGGGCTCTGCATGCCGGCGGCCAAGCACGCCGACGCCCTGGTGGCGAGGCTGCGTGACGCACGAATGACGGGGGCGCTTGAGGCGTGCTTGGCGTCCTCCAGGTTGTTGGGCCCTTGAATCACGCTAGCACGTCGCCTAGGCCGCGCCGCAGCCACACAGTAAAAAAAGATTCGCCGATTCGGTGACGTCTGGGCGCCAAAACGAGAATATTACAAGAACAGCGACACCCTCAAACTGTTCTGGCGGCCCTCTGTTCGTTTCGGCGACGCTCGGTCTAGTTTCGGTGGCGCTCGGTCCGTTCCGGAGCAGCCACCTCACCAGAACGGCACTGCAGTCACCCTCCTGCCAGCGACTTTTGATCGTCGTATCAATGTGAAATAGGACACAAAACAAGTCAGGGGCTGTCAGTAATCATTCGCGTGACTCATCAAAGCGTAACATTGCCGGCGGGCACGCACAAATATGCACAGACAGCTCAAAAACAGTTGTTGTGGTCATCCTAACCTCTCTGGCGGAACACCACCTGGTGACGCAGGTCACCGTTTTGGTGACGGACTGTCGCCGGGTTTGTGGGGGTACCCGTTTCGGTGAGATTGGATATAGAACGACCACCAAAACAGCGAATCTTTTTTTACTGTGCAGCGTGTGCTCCGATTTTCTGAGTTCAGCACCATCGCCACCCTCGCGCAGGGCCCGGTAACTTAACAAAATGACCGTTACTAGCTTCACGTTATTTGTTACGGTACGTGGAACTGTAGTGTGGAACGAGAATGAAGTGATAACGTTACTTTCCGTGTACCGAAACATACGTTCCATCCTAATGTTACCGGCAACGGAACGTTACTCGAGAGGAACAAATACCTGTTACAAACCGAATTCCGTTCCGTTACTCAGTACCGTTACAACTGGGTAAAGGTTGCTGTAACGTTACTAATGTAACGTTCCTCAGAGAACGGAGGCGTCTAACATTAGGCTTGTGGTTACTGTACGCTAAGAACGGTACTGTGCGCTATGGTACTCATTAGAGTTACGTCACATGGTAACGTTACGTGCGTAACGATTTAATTGTGACAATAACTCAAACAGGTTACAGTTTCAACGAAAAAGTAACGTTACCAAACCCTTTTTAACCATTAGAAGGAACAGGAAAAGAGGGGCCGCGCCGTCCGCCCACCCCGCCTGTAAGGTAGGCATCACACTGGACTGCAAGTTTTGCGGGTTTGCCTACCCTCGTGTTCACAGGCGTTCGGGCCCAGTGCGCGCGCAGGGCTTGGCGGGTATTTCAAATTGGGACTTAGACTCAGGTTTGTGAAACGCACACTTCTTGAAAGAAATGAACAAACAATGAATTTTTTCTTGCCACAAAAAAGAGTAACGAATTGCATGGTTCAAATACATTTTATTTTATTGTAAATTTTATATACAACTGGAGAAAAAAAGGACAAAAAAATAAAAGAACTGTTACCACCTGTTCAGAACATGAAGCATGCTACTCAACAACAAAATTTTGGTTAAAAAAATACAAAGTGACTCAAAGAAAAGTTCATCTAATTGTAAACTTTTAAGCGTGAATTGATAGCACTGAGTTTTGATAACTTTTAATAAAATAAGGTAAAATACACATAAAAAGAAATGGTTGGCAACACTGCAACAGAAGGCAGGGAAGGGGGAAGAGAAGGTAACAGTGAAGCACAGTCAGCCACTTGCTCCAAACCGTTCACGAGAACAAGCTGCTAGTCAACGACCATGGAGAATGGTGCAGGTGCTGCGCCGACGGGCCCCCAGAAGCCAGAGCACCCAGTGCGGAAGTATTTTAACTACGACTCTGTACTGGATGAGTCTCGATGTGTTATCGCCACCTGCCAAAGGAAGAAAGTTCCCGTAAGTAAGATGAATTGATGGATAGTTTTACGACAGCTGTTAAGTTTCCATGCCACCATTTGTTAAACCTAAATTTGAGGGCAGCGCTTTTGTTTTGACCTCCATATGAGTTAGCAACTTTATTAGTGCATAAGTTAGCAATTTGATCAATGTACAAGCACTAGCACTCTGGCGCTAGGGCAGCGGTTATAGTGGTAAGGTGATTTGGTTTGACTGGCCACGTGTGGCCCGGGACCACGTGGAGCCAGGGACCACGTGTGTGCGAGCAACAGTGTGTCCCTTATGCAAAGTTCGTATGGGCTAGCCGACCATGTGCTGACCATCACTACATATTTCCTGACTGTGCTACTTGGTTGTTGAATTTCTTCTAAATCTGACAGCATAATGCTTACGAGCGCGCCCTCGCCCGTTCTGACTGTTGCCACCAAGGCTGTAACAATGCAGAGTAGAAATACGATTCTGACTCTACAGGGGCGGGGCCAGTACCTGGCCCCCTTTCTCAATAACTTGAAATGTTTACATGTTTGTTCATGTGAAAATTGACTCGTAAAGCATAGTGAGAGGAACATAAATAATAGGATTCTTTTTTTGTTTTGATTTATTATGGATATTTTCTTACCTTTATTTTTATTTCAGGGCAACCACCTTGGAAACTTGGAAAAGCACTTGAGGCGTAAGCACAAGGACAAGATTCCATCTCTTGAAAGTGATCTCTCAGAGTGGAATGGGCGACGCAAGAAAAAACCATCAAAGAAGACACGGTTACTCCATGTCGCTATGTCTGCTCGTAAGCTAAAACTAGCTTGTGTGCGCCTGATAGCAGTGCATGGGCGGCCCATAGAAATGATGAATGATCCAGCTTTTCAAGACATCGTACGTCCCATGATAGACGCCATGCCTGCAAGGGAAAGGTAAGAGAGTTATAAAAACACTTTTTATAAAATATCGAAAATATTCAATTAGTTCTAACATTTTTTTTATCTTTGCAGGTTTGCTATCAACGACTATTCAGTACGCAACATGATTAAAGATTCTGCTAAGGAGCTAAGAAACTTCATTAAGAATGAAATCAAGGGAAAGGTAGTTTCTCTGAAGGTGGACTCTACTACCAAGAATGGTGAACCCTACTTTGGAGTCAACATCCAATTTTCCAAAGATGGAACAACACAGCTAAGGACCCTCGCAGTTAAGCGTCTCTTTTTGTCACAAACAGCAGAGAATTTAAAGAATGAAATAATGACGATCCTGCGGGAGTATGACATAGAAGTGTCTAGCCTGGTGTCGTTTACCTGTGACAATGGGGCAAACATGCTTCGTGCTGCAGATCTTTTAAAAGAAGAACAAGTTGAAGCTCAAGACCTCTGTGATGAAATTCAGATGGATTTGGACTTGGAACTAAGGGACGATGAAGATGACTCTCTGAAGCTTTCAAGTGTTAAGTGTGCTGCCCACACGCTTCAGCTTGCGGTGATGGACGACAGCCTGAAAAAATCACCAGTTGAAGTGGAACTACTGAAGAAAGCTCGAGATGCGGTTAAGTTATTGAGAACAGAAACTTACCGGAAAAGATTGAAGAGAGAGTTCCTGGCAGTTCCTGTTCTTGACAATGCCACGAGATGGAACACTTCATATGCCATGCTAGCTTCTTTGCAGCGGATAGAAAATTTCCTGGAAACAGAAGAAATTATTTCTAAGGAAGATTGGTCTAACATGCAGCATCTAATGAAGTCACTTGAACCTGCCATGATTGCAACAAAAGCTCTTCAATCAGAACAGCTTACTCTGGGAGACATGTTTGGTATTTGGCTTGAATGCAAGGCTAAACTCAAGAAAGTCAACTCACCCTTGTCATTGAAAATTGTAGAAAACATGGAGCTTAGGGAGAGGCGTCAAGTGTACGCCCCAAGAAGCGCACTTGCTGGCCAAGAGAAGGTACCAGCCCTGTTTGAATATCCAGGGTTTGAGGCCGCCATCTTACTTGACCCAAGATATTTCTCCTGCCTTGATGATAGTGAGGTGGTATCTGCCAAGGCCTTCATACGGAAACTCTGGAAGACAGTAGAGAAGAAACGAAATCCACAGTTAGAAATTGAAGAAGAGGCGGAACCTCATGAAGAGAATAACGACAGCGATGATGAAATTGAAGCTATGTTGAGGGCTAAAGACTTGGAAAGGAGCGCAACAGCTTCTGTGAGTAGAGTTAACATATCAACTCAGCTAGAAGTGTATTACAGGGAAACAGCCCGTGTCAAGGACAGGAAAACCTCCATCTTGAATTGGTGGGAGAAGCACAGACTGGCATACCCAGAATTGTATCTTATTGCCTGTGTTCTGCATGCCATTCCCGCCACTCAAGTTAGTGTTGAAAGACTATTTTCCGCTTTGAGATTCATCATGCATTACTTACGCTCAGGGCTGTCTTCAGACATGATTGAAGATCTAGTTTTGATCCATAGCAATTCCAACCTCATGAAGGAGGATGTACTTTCTCTGATTGAAAGTGTCGCTTCAGATGACGATGATGAATTTGAAGAAATGGACATGTCCACTTCCACCTCCAACTCAGGATCTGCTTAGTCACTGAACCTCAATAGTGATGTGTGATTTTCTTCAATGTTGTAGCTGCAAGAGAAAAATGTTGACATTGTTAGATTATTTTTAAGTTTAGGCACCGTTGATTGTTTGAGACAAGTATTGTTGTGATTTGGTTACAAAGTTCCTTTAATTTACAACAAAGAATATTATTGACATTTATTTAAGGTATTGATTGTTAACCGGTGACTTATTCGTAACTGAATGGTAAATTTACTCTGAGTCACAACACAATGTTGTTGAATGTGATATTTACTTAGATCCTAGATATTAATATTAAATATTAATATAAATAAAGAAACGATTCATACCTCAAAATGTGAAATGCTGAATAATTTGCTGTTCCTCGACTCCCCTCGCAGCCCCGAGATGCATCTCATTGACTAGTAAAACTAGAAAGACTCAAAAGCAGCCTACGGTTGTAACATAACCTCTTCGCATTTCTCCTGAACATTTGTTGCTTTCTGACTCTAATGCGAATTTCTAACACAAACTTCTTGATTCTTAGAAATTTAAAAAGAAAGCTTTGAAAGAAGATTACTGGGCTGTCAAAATTCACATCCATTTCATTCGTACCAAAAAAATCAGCAATCCCACAATACATAAGCGTCATGGAAACGTGCCGCGGCCCGCGGCCAACGACGCCGGGGAGAGAGAAGCGAGGACGAGAAACGAGAACGGGCCGAGTGTCGGGCAGAGATGGACCGGACGTGGCTCGAGGAGAGCGCGGGAGTTTCAAAATCGGGAGGTGTGTGTGCGAACGCTGGGACGCTGTACATACTGAGGGACGGGAGGACGGGGATGGGTGATGGGTTCGGCGGGCGTGCAAGCTTCCACAGCGGCGGCGGTGGCAGCAGCGGTGGTAGCGGCGGTGGCGGCGGCGTCTGTGGCAGGGGCAGGCAAGGCAGTAGAGATGAGGGACGGGCAAGCCAGCAAGCCAGCGCCGCTACCGCAGCGGGCGGCGGCGGTAGCGCACCTTCTTTGCCGAAGGTGCTGGGTCCACCCGAATGCTTCCGAACCCATGGGTTCGGAAGGCTTGCCTGGCCTGCCCGGCTGGGTGGGTGGAGTGGGCAAAGCGGCGCGCTCCGGGTCGCTCGCTGCGCTGGCTGGGCGGCTGGGCGGGCGACCGACGGCGGCGACGGCCGGCAGCCGCGTCTGTCTATCTGCCGTTACGCGCGTGCGTAGAGTCGGTTTGGCTCGATTTGAATAGTGCAACCGACGGCAGGTGCCCTCATTAAACAATAATCAACACATTAAAGAAAGTCGGGGAGGGTATGCACACATACGGAATAGCATAAATAGTCAAACTTTGACATCATACGCCGTTCGGCTGATCGCGCTACGCCACGCCACGACAAAGGCGGTTCGGCTAGCTGTCGTCTCCGTCGGCCAGCCAGCGGCCAGCCAGCCACAGTCAAAGCGACGCTGTCTGTCTCTCTCTCACACTCACCTGCGGGCCGGAGAGCAAGCCGCCCAAGCCGCTTGCCGGTCCAGCCCAACCCATGGGCAAGCCGAGTTGGGTTGGGTTCCGTGCCAGTCGGCAGCGGCTGGGCTCGCGCTGAGCTTGCCTGTCCCTCATCTCTACAAGGCAGCCTCCGCTCCTCGCCGCCTCGCTGGGGCCAGCGGATTTGGGAGGAGGGAAGAGGGGGGGGGGGGAGGCTGATGCTCACGGAGATGCGCCGAGCGATTAGCGGTTTGACATTGTCTCTCTCGCACCCACTCGCACCCTTATGCAGAGCCCCATGAGTGCGACAGAGACAGAGCGACGAAACGACTCTTCCGAATCGCTCGGCTGGGCCAACGGAGGATGGTGACTTCATCCTTCTGCTTTGCATACCACTGGCTCTGTCGATGTCATGTCCTCAGAGGGAAATCCGCAAAACTCAAGCCGAGGCTCACTTCTTTTTAGCAGATGATACGTTCACGTATCAGCGTGCTTGTACTCTCGTGCAGAGAGTACCGAGTTTCCGGCTAGCCAGGCAGCAGTTGCCTCGTTGCCTGACTAGCAAGCCTAGAAGAGGCCGAGCGCCTCGCTGGCAAGGCAGCGGCTGGCTGGCCTGCCTAGAAGATTATGAGCGGAGGGCCCGCAGCGTGCCGCGCCGTCGCGCCGCGCCGCGCCGCGCCGCGCGCCGCACATGGATCGGGGCGCCTGCGGGGGCTCGGGTTGCGCGCGCGGCGTATAACCTCGACACCCAGCTCTCTAGTACTCATGAAGTGCGTCCCTCGCGTAGCGCGTCGTTACGAGACGCTGCTAGCACGCATCGCGTAGCTGCCCCCCTCGCCCATTCCCTTGCCGAGACGCCACGTCCCGCCGCGCCCCGCCACACCCCGCAGCAGTCTACACACACACGCACTTGAGCCTTGAGTGCGTAGAACGCATAGTGCAGCGCCCCCCCCGAACCCCTGCTCCTCTCGAGAAGCGGCGCGTCGGCAGTCGGCGGTGTGCGCCACTCTTGCTTATCTATCTTGAGGTCGGGTTCGGTTGGCGCGCCGGCCGGCCGGCCCCGCTTGGAGATGTGGCTGACACGCCGCGTGCCGCAAGGCGCCTTGCCCTAGTACCGAACACAACTTTTACGGGTATTGAGTATTTATGTGATTAGCCACCAAATTGTGCATCCTCACGTTGAAACAACGAAAATGATACCCAACACAAGTGGTATCGGACATATGAGTGTCCCACCGTCATTGCGAAAATGTTTAACACAAAACAATGGCACGTTAGGATATTCAAAAGTTATACTAAAATTGACATTTACATGAATTATCATGTGTTAGAAATTTGTGAAAAAAAAAAGTTCCGAGTGTTTACTCTTTGAAAGAAATTGACAAAATGTCACATTCATACATTTCAATAAACATTCTCATAAGTATCATCTGCTTTCACGTTAGCGTTAGCGTTAACGTTTTTTTCACACTCACTTTTACTAACCGAACAGCTATTGCGTTGCACGCGTGAAGCGTGTAACATGTGTAACGTTTCGTGCGTTCTAACTTGTGTGACGTTACTATAACCTGCTACGATTCGGAACAACACAAGATTTTGGGGAGGAAACGGTTCCATTTGTAACAAAACGTCGCAGAATTTTCGTTACGTTACAATTTTTGTAACGTTTCCTCATTGTAACTTCCCTGTAACGTTGCAATTGTAACCACTTTGCAGTACCATTAAATCCGTTTTAAAACTGTAACGTTTCAGATCAAACGGTATGTTACGTTACATGTACTGTAACGTAACTGGGGAGGTAACGAGTTGCCTTGGGACACAGTGTAACTTGTAACGTAACGCTCATTTGTTAAGTTACCGGGCCCTGCCCTCGCGGCCTTGGCACCTTAGACAGGGAAGCATTTCTGAAAAAGGCTCTCTAAATCGAAGCGAGCGGCGTTTCGCGCTACAAATTGGTAACCGGCGGTTCTAGACTAATTCGACCCCGCTGAACACGAATTGCCCGGTTACCAAGCTCGATTTTTTCATTTTAGCCCTCAAATCCAAGATGGCGGCCAAAATGGCGCCCAAAATGCCCGAATCGCAGTTCTAACGCGCTGTGAAGCCCACACTCACGAGTTGTTGGTTGGTTTTCAGTTAGATTATCATTCAAGTAACGCGATGGGTGAATTTAGAGCCATGGGCATGAGTGTTAGGGGTCAAAATGCAAAGATGGCGTCAGAAAACGTCAAAAATCGCTTATAACGTCACATTTTGACCGTTTTTGCGATAATTTGCTGATTCTGTGGCCGTTTCAGGTCTTCCTTCGACTAGATAAACCAGATTTTAAGTTTGCATGACCTGTTGTCACCTAAGCTAGGGGCCAACAGGCCAAGATGGCGTCCGAAAACGTCAAAAATCGCTCGAAACATCACATTTTGACCATTTTTGCGATAATTTGCTGATTCTGTGATTTTCTAAGGTCTTCCTTCGACTAGATAAACCAGATTGTAAGTTTGCATGACCTTCTGTCACGTGAACTGAGGGTCCACAGTCAAAGATGGCGTCCGAAAGAGTCAAAACTTGCGCTTTCTGCGGATTTAGTGCCTCATTTTCCGTGAATCTGGAGGAATTATGTAGGTGGTGTGATTCCGTGCATAGGCGGTCATTTCAGGTCATTCGGGCCTTGCGTCTGAATTGAGGTTGAATGGGTAGCTTGGGCAATTCAATTCTGTTTTAGTGAACGAGGACCATGTCCTCGTGTGGACAAGTGACAACATCGATCTAACTTTTGTTTTTCTAGTTTTTGTATCCTGCTAAAGTGTCGTTTTGTAAGTCCCATCATGGTCAGGAACACCTATTAAACAACTTTGCCATACTGTAGTTACTATTATTCTTCACAAAACTACGGAAGGTGACCTTTGTGTCATCATTTGTTGAACTCGAAACATCCTTTCGGAAAATATCAAGCGTGTCACCACGTCACCTAAGCTGATTTCACGACTGACGTTCCACTGGGATTCCTTTTCGTTTAAGAACCCCCCGACCGCTTGGAATCGAAAGAACATAGGAAACACAACCGGAAGCCCGTGCCCGTGGGACCTGGGGCGGCCAAACAACGCTTCCAGCCCGTCAGAAATGTTTAACGGGTAGGGTGTACAAATAGATGTAAATTCCGTTTCGGACCATAGCTCCCTCCTTCCGAGAGACAAAGTTGCCACAACCTTCGCTAAAAAGCGATGTTTCGGATGCTCGAAAAGACACCGTCAACAGTTTTTGCCTATCTTGTATCGCAGCGGGTCAGCTGATTAAACACTTCGCTTTGTAAGTTCCGTCATATGTAAATTCCGTCATGATTTCTGAAAGCTCCGCCGCATTTCATAGGGTGTGAAAATGAAAGTCAACTAGCGTTGCCACGCTCAGAGGAGTACTGTCCAGACCAAATCTGTCTCAAAAAGGTGAACTTATTTTTATTTTTAGCTACAGCCAAAATGACCTCCTACGCACAGAATCACCCGGTGACGATTTATTTTACTGATAGTGGCAGATAAACGTCGTCACT